GAGTGCTTTTGTGATTATTTGCAGGTGAAAAAAGTCCCAAATCTGTAGAGCGTGTCCAGCACAGGAAAAATCTGCTAAACAGCTGGATACAGCTGATCTACCAAACAACTCGGACAAAATTTAGGAAGTGTATGTCCCAATAAGGCTACACAAGCCATCAAAATATTATAGAAAGTGCAAAATCCCAAATTATAGCATTGCATTATACTATTATAGCATTGCAGTACTGCAGAGATGCAGAAATGCTCTAGCCTACAAATCTTCTTCCCCAGATGTAAGAACAAATGTCACATCATCATGATTTTAATAGTTTTTCCAGTGAAATTTGTGATGCAAAAATGATCATTCCCATTAATCGTGAATTCAATATGATGTTTTTACCATATTGTGCAGTCATTGTAATCTTGCTCCCTAGCACAAATGTTATGTTTTTTTCTAAGCAGCAGTCATACGTTCCCAGATGCAAATCTAATGTGAGTGTGGAAACAATGTCTGATCACGAAGAGCAGCATCTGAGATGTATTCTGACTACTGGTATAGACTGTAGGTTGTCTATGGTGCATCTAGATCTAGACATGACATCTATGACTCACACACACACACACAAACACACACACACACTGTCTGAAATACTGTATTTTTAAGTCTGTCTGAGAGCAAAACCCATGACTCCCTGCTGATGACAGGCCCAAAGTACTTCAGAAAAACTTTCCAGACCACGAACACACGCAGCAGAGAAGCATTCGCTACTGTCAGGGTTGATGAACAGTTTGCTGCTGGGTGACAGAGAGAACTCTTTCAACAAGGAATATTTCTGTGGTGTGCCACAATCGTGTGTCACACTCACTGTTGTATGTTCTGCACTTAAAGCATCAGTGTGAAGGATTTAGTGGCTTCTTGTTGGGTCCACTAAAAGTGCTTGTTTTTGCCACTGACCAGCTCAGATTGTTCTTATAAATGTCTGACAACATTATGGAAAGAACAGAGAAATGAAACGTTTTCTGTTCCTTTGGCTTGATCCTGTCTGTGAAACCTCCTCTGTGGGCATAGGGTCACAGCAGCTACATCAACACGACCAGTCTCACTGCTCACTCTCTTTGCAGCAGCTGGTTCACCCTCCCTCCTCATCCACTCTTCAGTCTGTAGTTTCATCCATATACTCCAGCTCAAATAGATACAGGCGGCCATCCACATTGTCCAAACAGCTGAATATTCAGCCATGAGATTGAAAATCTTTGACAGGACACTAAGCTGAAAACATTACTCGCTCACATCTCCACTGCTGTCTTCCTGCAATAAGTGTCCTCAACTCTCCTGATATTTCAGAACCAAACATCTCCTGAGCAAGACTGGCTTAGACACACAACGGATCAAGTAAAAGGAACAGAAAACCTTTCATTTCTCTGTAGGGAAGACACTTGTAAGAACTATCTGGGTCATTCAGTGGCAAAAACAGTTTCAATGGATGTATTTTAACAATTGCCCTCAAGGATTTTGTTGTAATCTGTTTCTGCTGCAGGCTACAAAACTTGTCCCCATTAGTCACTTAGACACAAAAACATGGGAAAATAAGGTCCAAGTTGAAAATATCTGAAAGTTACCTTTTACCTGTTTAAGTCATTTATCAAGGAAATATGACATTGATTTATTTATTATTCTCCAGTTCCAGCTTCTCTAATGTGAAAATTTGATGCTTTTCTCTGGTTTATGTGACTGTAAATTGAATCTCTTTGGATTCTGGACTGTTGAAAACTTCACCTAGGCCTCTGTGATTGGTCATATGTTAGTCAAATCAATATTAACAATTAATCATTCAACAGAAAACTAATGAAACTATGTTGTCCTTTTTTTGAGCAAAAATGGCAAAAAATTCATTGGTTCCAGCTTCTCAGATGTGCATATTTTCTGGTTTTCTTAAGGCGGGGGCACACAGTATGACTGATTATGAATGTGGTTTGGGCATAACGGCTAATGGGACTGGATCTGTTCCATCCTGGGTCAGCTGTTGTTGACAGTTCCAGTGTGTAACATTTAGGAGGATCTGTTGTCAGAAAT